TGTGGGGGGGGCAGGTAAGAGATCAATCAAAGGACTTGTATGTATGCATATAAGCATAACCAATGGATGCAAGACACTGGGGGTGAAGGGGTGAGGGCATATGCCAGGGGGTAGGGGCGGCTAGGGAGAGGTCAATGAGGGGGAAAAAGGAGACATAGGTAACGCTTTAAACAATAAAGATTTTAAATGAAAAAATATACAGATAAAAAAAGATTTCCACATCAGTCAAATGAGGGCTTCAACGTGAAAGAAGGCCATAATGGGAAATAAAGGAGGCATCTCTGGCTCTTCCTGAGCAAAATTCAATCCTAGCCCATGATCTACCCCAGGGCTGGCCTTAGACTATGAGCTCCCTGTGTCTATGGGGAATCTATGTTCATGGTCTCCAGATTCTACTGGCAGGGGGCAGGGGTACTAAGCATTGTTGTCAGGGCCAGGCCCTACACATCCAGTATCCCCTGAGCCAGGCACAGGTAGCTTGGAGCAGAGAGTTGACATGGTTTGCTAACGGTCAAGGCTGGAGAGAAACAACACTAGGTACCTGGTTCCACAGGACTGAAGAAACATCCCTTTGACAACGATCTGATGTCCATACCGGAGGGTGTACTGGTCACCCCCTTGTGTGGCCCTAGAGAAAGGGACGACCTGCAGGGAGAAGAAGGCAGTCACTTAGTGGCCCTGCTCCTTTTGTCCGTTCCCCCTGGCACTTGCTAGTGGCCAGCCTGGTGTGTCAGACAATGTCCCAGGGGCTGGATTCAGCTGTGAATAGGGCATATGGAGTCTCAATCTCATGGAACTTCCCACCTGTGAGGAAGCCGACTTGGATCTGGGGAATTACAGCTTCATTCTGAGACTGATAAGGAGACCGCCCGGCTCTGAGACAATTTAACCCAGAGCTGACCTCTCTTAAGGGGAAGTAGCAGCTTTCAAGAGGAGGAAGTAGCATGAACATGGTCCTGAGAGGGGAAGAAACCAGGGTAGAGAGAGGGGCAGCTGGACCACAGGCCAGGCCCTTAACAAAGGCCCCAGGGCCCTGGTTGAAAACTAAGAAAACCAAGAGACCAAAGAGGCCATCAGCCTATTCTAAAGGATAAACCTTCTGCTCCCTGAGAAGGCCAAGAAGAAGGCATCCTCCTGCCCACCCACCATAGAACAGTGTGATCACGGCCTTTGCTCTCCCAGCTACCTCAGGTAGCATCTGGTTGATCTGCAGCCTCGGGGCACCTCCTCCTCTCCTGCTCCTGCTCCATAGTCCGTCCCAGGCCCTGGGCAACCTCTGAGGCTCTAGTGAGGTGTCTGCAATCCTCCTAGGCCCCACAGAGCCCATTTTTGTCAAATGCCGTTCCCGGGCCACTTGAAAGAACAATGGTTATGGTGAGGCTTGCATTGTTTTAGAGCCAGGCATCATCCAGTTTTGGAGCCTAATTCTGCTTCTCGTTTCCTGGGTGACCTCAGGAAGCTCATGTCACCTCTTTGTCTCAGTTTCCTCATCTGTAACATAGGGGTACATCTTACCTTCTGCGTAAGATCAAGGAAGAGACTGGCACAGAGAAGGTGTCTCTACCGCACCCTTCCCTCTTGGTCTCTCTGAGCAAAATTCCAAATTGGTTTCTTCATGACTTTTAAGCTAACCTCCAGGATGCCTTTTATCTGATGTGCTCTTAACCTGCACTAACCTAGGAGATAGCTTCCAGCTCCTAGTCAATCTTCACATTTCTCTAGTAGTTAACGTCTTCTCTAACTTCTTTAAGCCAGCTCCCTACCTAAGTGAAATGCTTGTAGGAGCCAGGCAGGTGATGTGTAGGAGAGGGATTGTCAGGTAGGGGCAATAGGGAGTGGTCTATAACAAAGCAGACACCATGTGTCTCATCAAAAGGGACACAATCCTCTCAGCTCTAACCTGAACAAATTAATTAATTTAGATGGATTAACCCCTCTGTGGGCCAG